CTTCTACGAATTACAAAAATATATATCGTGTTTAGTGTCTAATTTTAACATATAAATTATATGATAACAATCTACAATCAAAAACGATTATAACATATAAATTATTAGTTATAATTTATTAGTAATAATTAATTTATTACCATACAAATATTTTCAATTATAATTAATCACTTATCAGTTATCACTATACGACCTACACACTACACTATACAGCTCGGCACAGCGACGCTATTTACTATTTACTGTTTATTATTTAGTATTTACATTTGACTTTTTAGTTACAAGTTACAATATTCATTAATTATTCAATATTGTTTTCTATTGAGCAAGATTGTACGATTGTACATAGCTTATTATCTAAACAACTGGAATTAGTGTTTTACTAATGATGTACTTTATTTGTATTAGTGTTTAGCTAAGTATATGCTCAGACTCACCTTTTATTAGTTTTATTTTTGTTATTAATTTATTATAATTGCAAAAATACCCAGTGGCCAGTACCAGTACTGAGTGTTTATACTGTTTAAAGACTTAAATTATATTATTAATAATTTCTTGATCAGTAATTGTTAGTTGATTCTTTAATACTAGTAAAATACCTATTTTGTATGTACATTTTTACTCGGCCTATACTCGATACCCGGTAAGTGTTAAAATTTTTACTCTGTCAATACTCAATACCCGGTTAGTACTATAAATTTTACTCGACCAGTACTCGGTACTCGGCTTAATACCAGATTTTCTACTCAGAACATTTTTAATTGACAATCCTCAGTCTAATAAAATAGAAAGAAAATATTGGTTGTAAGTTTGTAACATACATTATAATATAAAAAATACACGGGACGCAACTTATAGTTACTTATTTTTTTTATTAGTTGAAAATGTTATTCCCTTTTTTTATAAAAACAGTATTTAATTTATTTTTATTCCTTGCCCATTACATTCTCATTGTAATGTTTATTTCGTGGTACATTGAATAATAAAGATAAGTATTTAAAACAAAGAATAACATATTATATCGCTGAAAATCGAATTTTTTCCCATTGTGATGTTATACATCGATAAAACAACTGGTAGGTTCAGCGGAAAAAATTAACGGTAAACAATAATATCATCTTAATATTGGCTCTGCGACGAGCTTTTGATTAATGCAATAACATTGATTTCCACCGGAGTTCTTTGTTTGGCCGATGTTTTTGTGATTTCCGAACACAATGGGACCTCGTTTACAATTATCGCGTTTCCTCAAAGTGAGCATTTTTCATGCTCCATTACACCGAAGTAATCTCATGTCATGCTTAATGTCGTCGTGTTTTTTCTTCTTAATTTCTTCGGATCAGCGTACATTTTTTAATACACGAAATAAACGACTTACTACATCAATACCTACTGAGATATCAGTACCCCAAAACATGTATTGCATGTCTGAATAAATCGATTGAGTAAAACTTAGAAATTTTATATATATATATATATATATTTGGTTTTTTGTATTGATCATTATAGCTTCGACAACATAGACCATTAGCTTTTAAGATTTATACAATTACATGAATAATTTGAGGAGAAAAGAAAAGAAGTTTTTACAATATTAGTAACTTATTTCTTTTTAATTATCATATGATTTTTCTAACTTTAATGCCTTGAGGAAAAATTTTACATTTATTTATAATTATATTCTTAGAATATTTTGTGTGTGTGTGTGTGTGCGTGTGTGTATGTATTGTTTTCACTGTTTTGCTTAATGTATATAACATAATGTGTCTAAAGTTTTTCATATTCGAAAAATCGCTTCTATAATTTCATGTGGACCGGACAACTCCAGTTTATGATGATAAGCCAATAATAAAATTAATTATGAACTCATAAATGCAAACATATTAATGTTACAATTCAAATTTAAACTACTTACAGAAAAATGTGTAAAAAGAACGGGTTACATAAACAAGTAATTCGATGATGATGATTTTTATTTTATTACAGTTAAGTATACTATATTGCAACGCTGATTATTCGTTGATACGTCATATCAACTTTTTTTTCTTTGTTCACTATATATATGTTACAGTTAAAGAAACAGTTAACAGTTAGTTCATGAAATAAATAGGTAATTTATAAAATAACTAAAAAGTGTAGGGAATGTATATAAGTTTATACTTTAACTAGTTATTTTATACAATCCCTGTCATCATTTCGTTAATGTGTCAAATTGATACAATCATACATGTACATATTGATATTTTATGGTCCACCGTAGCAATAAATTAGATAAAACTGACTTCTTGTTGACGGTTACAGTGTTAATGTACGTTTATCGTGCTAGATAAAATTATCGTTATACCTACACCTATTATTTTTATGATTGTCAATAAAATTGGTAAGTTTTAAAGTTTAGTAATAGTCATACAGTCACAGCGTTCAATGTTGGTTCGTATGTCTCTACAATAGCCTTGCATGTACAAATATAATAAATAATATAAAAATATAATAAATAATTAATTAATTTTAAAATAAAAAAAAGGTTATGAAATATTTTAAATTTTAATGTATTTTATACTTTAACAAACCTATATTAAACTTAAATTTTATAGAATAATTAGATATTCAATGAAATAACTAGTTAAAGTATAATTTTCATAAATAATTTTCATGTACGATTTCATACTTTAACTAACATTCATAAGTAATTCATGAATTACCAAATATTTCATAAAATAACGGAATTCAATACTTTAACTGTAATATATGAATAACCAAGTACCGATATTTCCTCAACAGATTATTGTCAGAGGATCAAAATGGATTACATAATAATGTTAGCCTAGTATTATACTTATAAAGGTACAACCGTAATTGCACTTCCAAAATATATAATTTTAAGTTACCGAAGCGTGGTTTTATTTTTTCGGTGGTTAGTGGTGTGAACAATCATGTTTTAGGGATACCAAATAAATTAATATGCGCGTTGTGAGCATAAAATATGTTTTTATTTTCGTTATTTTTTCAATAAATATCGCTACTAACGATACGTATGCAGTGGACGCATTGTGATCCTGGTCTATCATCATTATTGAAACTTAATGTGACGTTTGAATAATACTACGTTATTTAATCGTAATCCGTGTGAATTGACAAAATGCGGAGTTGCCCGATTGCGGCCCGAGTCCAGGTAGTCGTATTTTATCCCAAATATAAGTATCCCGATTGCGTCCAGACACACATTGGTTCACAAAATGTTTAATATTTATTTTAAAAGTATTATTACAAGATTGCAGTAAAAAATAGTAAAATAGTAAAATAATAAATTTTTTACAATATATAAAGATATGAAATACAATTATGTCAGTAAATAATCAATAAATAGTCGAATATTAAAATAATAAATTGTCTACAATAAAAAAATAGTTAATAGTTGTTGTATACATCTATGGAAATTACCACTCCGAATATTGGTTATCGTGTGAATCGTGATTACGATGTCAAAATACGTATCGGACGCAATTGGGATATTTATTTGGTTTTGATAACCACTTGAATAGTAATTCCTACCTGCTATGTACGGGCCGCAATCGGGATAGGTGAAAAGGTAAAAAGGTTACTTTGGGCCGCAATCGGGCGACGCCCACAAAATGTACCACGATTTTATTAAACGTATCAGTACATCAAAGTTGCTGATGCTACTCCTACTGCGGTGCGTACACAATATAATATATAATATATAAGTGCGATAAGTTGTTTTTATTTTTTAAATAAATTCGTGAAACAAATCATGTAGCCGGTGAAAATGTGAGTGAACGAGTGTGGCTGCACTAGTGGTGACTCGTGGGGTTCACAGGATGATTAGGAATCAGTCATGGTATGTTGCTAAGGTATAATACTACTGATTCCTGATGATTTTAGATTTTATTCTGTATAAATATAAAAATAAGCTATTAAATTCACATTATCTAATGGTACACGAATGTATTTTATACTATAATAATAGTGATTATAGTTTGTATTATTATTATTATTAGATAAAACTTACTTTGAAAATATCAATTTTTTTTTTTTGATTTATTATTTTCAAATGTACCAACTACATTAAATGAGTTTACTGCCAACTATTCTACAATCATAATAGTCTTTTTTTTTTAATATTTTAGGTAGTAAACGTTTCCTTAATCACGATCCACCACTGTACTGCATTATTGACGATTAAGTGGGATACTTCGTCCATTGTACCCCGGGTTATTATACTAATATATATATTGTTATATATCTAGATCAGGGGTCAGCAACCTTTTGAATTACGCGGGCCATATTTTTTTTTCAAATGTTTATCAAAGGCCACATTAAAAAAAAAAATTTACATATGATATATACTAATAATGTTATTGCTAATATATTTGATTACTTTACGTAAAAATATGAGTGTAAAAAATACGAATGTTACTGGAAAAAATTGCTTTCAGAAAAATTGAATTTCTTGACAAATTAAACACAGTGACTTACCTTTGTTTTCGGCGAAAAAGTATAAATCAACCCAAGAATTATTAAAAAAACGATGTTCATCACCAATTTTTCTTTTTTAATATAATGTTATCCATAATGTTTGGATTTACTTGTAAAATGAAACTGTGGTGACGTAAACAACGCACCGCGAATCGTCCAAGTTGTTTACAATATTGTCAGTGGATAAGGGGAAAACCCATGTTCTAGAATATGCGATGATTATCTCGTTAAGGTAATTTCGAGAATGTTCTAGACAATCGACGCCGATATAATACATATATTATATATACCGGCTGGTCAGACGCTCATTCAGTTAGTCGGTGAGTACAATCCGCGACACACCGTGAATGACACTCCGCGATATATTCGGCAATTCCTCCACAATTGTAAAGCGTATCGATATTTGTACATACATATTTATATAATATAGTGTCTATTTTAATTAAATTAAATTGTGAGTGATTTTTATTACTTAAATCCCACAAATTGGTGACCTCGACGTGATGGCAGAGACAGACGCAACGATTGCTCGAGTGGCCATCAAAATACCGGATTTAATTTCGTCAGATCCCGAACTTTGGTTTGCTATGGTCGAAGGTAGTTTCACCAGCGCGGGAGTTACAGCTGACAGCACGAAATTCGGGTATGTGGTTGGAGCATTACCGCCGAAATATGCAGTTGAAGTCAGACATAAATATGACGCCGCCCTCGGACAGTAAGTATGTAAAAATTAAAGATGAATTAATAAAACGTCTTAGTGCCTCCCAAGAGGAAAAAACACGTCAACTTCTGGAGCGCGTTGAGATTGGTGACCGTAAACTGTCACAATTTTTACGCCACCTCCAAAACCTGGCTGACTCTTCCGTTCCGGAAACATTATTAAAGACACTTTGGAAGGGCGGCCTACCAAAAAGTATACAAGTGGCGTTAGCAATAGTTAAAGATAGTAAGCTTGAAGAACTCGCTGTCCATTCAGACAACATCGCGGATGCATCTGGTCCTTTGCTACCTCAAATAGCAGAGACATCGAGTAGTAACACTCTTGAAGCTATGTTGAATTTTAAAATTTCTCAGCTTACCTTGAGTATAAATCAGGAAATGGCGACGTTGAGAAGTGAAGTGGCAGCAATCAATACTCGTCCCTCTCGTAATCCGGACTCAAGACCAAGTACTTACCGCTCAAGATCTCGATCTCGGAGCCGTACTCTCCATGGTGCAAATGGATTATGCTGGTATCATTGGCGTTATGGATCACAATCGCGAAAATGCAAGGAACCTTGTACCTATAATTCAGGAAAACGAGACGGGTCATCACTGATGACGGCCAGTGAAACCATTCCGTCCCCGCGCCGTCTATTCATTACTGATCGAATTTCTCAAACTCAATTTCTCATCGACACGGGTGCCGACCTATGTGTTTATCCTCGTAGTGCTGCCAGACCGACGAGTAAAATCCGATTACGTCCTATCAGCAGCCAATGTCACGCCTATTAACACCTACGGCACTATCGCGCTCAGCCTCAACTTCGGCGAGATTTCACTTGGAGATTTGTGATCGCGGAAGTACCCATCCAAACCCATCATTGGTGTGGACTTCTTGAGTCATTACAATCTATTGGTAGACGTGCGTAATCAATGTCTTTTAGACGGTGTTACACGACTCACTGCTCATGGTAACGCTGCTGAATCCTCCATACCATCCATAAAGATTGTCGTGGGAGAAACGAAATACGACTGTTTACTACGGAAATTTCTCGAGATCACTCGACCATATGGAGCACCTAAAGACATTAGGCACAGCACCAAACACTATATTCAAACGATACCAGGACCCCCAGTAGCTTGTAAACCACGACGCTTAGCACCTGATAAGCTCAAGGCAGCAAAAAAGGAGTTTGAAGCTATGATCCAATTAGGCAATATTCGACCGTCCCAGGGACCTTGGGCATCACCATTACACTTGGTATCAAAGAAAACAACGGACGCCTGGCGTCCTTGTAGGGATTACCGTGCTCTAAATGTTCGGACTATTCCAGATCGGTATCCGGTTCGTCATATTCAGGACTTTGCACACTTTCTCCACGGTAAAACGATTTTTTCAACAATCGACCTAGTCCGAGCATATAATCAAATTCCTGTCGCTGAAGAAAATATTCCTAAAACCGCAATCGTGATACCATTTGGATTTTACGAATTCCTCTTCATGTCTTTTAGTCTTCGAAATGCAGCACAAACATTTCAACGATTTATTGACGAAGTACTTTTTGGACTTGATTTCTGTTACAGCTGCATTGACGACATATGTGTGTCACCTGTTTCTGAGGAAGAGCACATCAAACATTTACAGATCATTTTTGAGCGTCTACGCGAATACTCTCTGGTTGTCAATCCAAAAAAATGCGTTTTTGGACAGTCAGAAGTAAAGTTTTTAGGCTACATGATTTCTAGAGAAGGAACACGTCCTCTACCTGACAGAGTCACTGACATTTTGAGCTACAAGAGGTCATCGTCCGCTAAGGGTCTACGACAGTTCTTGGGTATGATAAACTTCTATCGTCGTTTTATACCTGGAGCTTCAGTTGCACAAGCACCACTAAGTGATCTTTTGGTACCCAATTTAAAAGGTAAGTCACCTATTAACTGGATACCAGAGGCTATTTCGGCTTTTGAAAAATGCAAGGAGAAACTCGCCACAGCCACGCTTCTCGCACATCCATGTGACAACGCTTGACTAGCTCTTGTAAGTGATGCTTCAAACACCGTGGTTGGCGCAACTCTCCAACAGTTCATCAATGATGAGTGGCAGCCTCTTGCCTTCTTTTCCAAGAAGCTCACAGCGACCGAGACGAAATATGGAGACAACGATCGAGAACTTCTCGTGATCTACCTTGCTGTCAAGCATTTTCAGTATATGGTGGAAGGACGCGATTTGGTTATATTCACCGATCACAAACCCATCACTTTTGCATTTCAGCAGAAATCGGATAAATGCACACCACGACAATTCAGACACCTAGACTTTATCTCACAATTCACCACGGATATTAGGTATGTTCCAGGTAAGCAAAATATCGTGGCTGATACCTTATCTCGCGTTGACGCCTTGTCAGAGACAATAGACTACACTGCATTAGCGATATCACAACAGGAAGACGATGAATGAAAAAAATACGAAAAAAAAAACACTGGACTACAACTCAAGCAAGTTCAATTATCAGATACGAATGTCTTAGTATTCTGTGACGTATCAACTTCAACCGCCAGGACTTTTGTCACAAAGCCATTCCGATGTAAAGTTTTCAATAGTATACATCGCCTCGCACATCCAGGTGTCAAGGCCACGACGAAGCTTGTTAAACAGCGATTCGCGTGGCCAGCAATTGACGCAGATTGCAGACATTGGGCGAGAGCATGTGTAGAATGTCAACGAGCCAAAATCACGCGCCATGTCACAGCACCTCTTAGTTCATTTTCTTTACCGTCTCAAAGATTTGAACATGTTCATTTAGATCTAATCGTTATGCCTTATTCTGAAGGATTTCGCTATTGCCTCACGTGTATCGATAGATTTACTCGATGGCCTGAGGTAATTCTATTGGGAGATCAAGAAGCGGCAACCGTAGCACGAGCTTTCTATACGCATTGGATCGCAAGATTTGGTACCCCTCTTCGTATCACAACAGACCAGGGAAGACAATTTGAGTCATGCCTTTTCAAGCAACTTAATAACTTGACTGGCACGAACCATCTTAGAATCATGGCCTATCATCCGTTAGCAAATGGCATGGTGGAACGAAGCCATCGGCAGCTTAAAGCCGCCATTAAATATCATCAAAATAATTGATGGACAGAAACTCTTCTGACAGTCTTATTGGGCATCCGAGCAGCTTGGATACCCACCTCTGCAGAATTAGTCTATAGAGAACCACTTAGACTCCCTGGTGAATTCCTAACGTCAAAAGATAATGCTGCCAAGTTCGTCGATGCAGCTGAGTTTATCAAAGATCTTCGACATCACATTCAGCAGATCTGACCTGTCAATGGTACACGACATGGCGAGAAGAAAAACTTTGTTTTCAAGGACCTTGCAACCACAGAGTACATATTCATTCGACATGACGGACCCAAAAATGGAATACAAATGCCCTAAGATGGTCCCTATAGAGTCATAAGTAGAAATAAAAAAACTTTTGCCATTGATATAAAGAAGAAAAAAGGTAGAGTAACTATTGATAGACTTAAACCGGCCTACATCATAGTAGACGACCATTCTAAGGAAGATATTTCGAGAGAAATTTAGACATCTACACCGAATACCATTACAAAGGAGGATCAAAGGACACGTTCTGGAAGAAGAGTTCGTTTTCCAGACCGTCTCCAAGTAGGTTATGCTTGACACCGTCACTGGTAGGGGAGTGACGTAAACAACGCACCGCGAATCGTCCAAGTTGTTTACAATATTGTCATAGGATAAGGGGAAATCCCATGTTCTAGAATATGCGATGATTATCTCGTTAAGGTAATTTTGAGAATGTTCTAGACAATCGACGCTGATATAATATATAAATTATATATACCGGCTGGTCAGACGCTCATTCAGTTAGTCGGTGAGTACAATCCGCGACACTCCGTGAATGACACTCCGCGATATATTCGGCAATTCCTCCGCAATTGTAACGCATATTGATATTTGTACATACATATTTATATAATATAGTGTCTATTTTAATTAAATTAAATTGTGAGTGATTTTTATTACTTAAATCCTACAGAACTATTACAAACGCAAACATTCAAACGTACGGGCGTAATCACGGTGTAATACTAATTGCTACAAACGGAAAGTAACTATGACCATAGATTAAATATATTAGATACATATGTATTAAATACATAGATTAAATATATTTAAAATTTTAATATCTTAGATTTTATTTATAAAGAAAAAAGAATTGAATAGTATTGAAAATTGTATGAAAAATGTTATTGAACAAAAATAAAACAAAAACAAAAATTAATCACCTTTGGGCGGGCCATAAAAAATTGCTTCGCGGGCCACATGCGGCCCACGGGCCGTGGGTTGCCGACCCCTGATCTAGATCATTGAACACCAAATAATTTCATTGACCGTAAATTAATTAAATTAAATTAAAATAAATAAATAATTATTTTAAATTAAATTAAATTAGTCAAGTGTGGAATGCTTAGTGATAATAATATACGGTCTACGGCTGCGGGAATAGATAATGATAATATAAGTTTACCCATACATGATAATACACTGCAGTTGTATTATAATTGTGCATAAAACACACGCACTGTATGCACACATGCGCCGTAGATTTTTGGCACACTGCATCGGCACTTTGGTCATTTTTATACAATAATAATAATAATAATAATAATAATATGTTGATTTTACGATCCAATTAATGGCAGCAGGAAAATGGTATATGGACGGTCATGAAATTAGTTTTAATATAAACTATTTTCAAAGGAATAAATTGTAATTTATTCTGACCCAACTCATACGGACGTGAATCATATGCGTTTTATTAATATGCACACGGCAACTCATGTAATATTCAAGAAACATTTCTGATTCAGTATTTTCGTATTTAATTATGAAAAAAATGCGCATAATATTTTAAGCAATTTGCGTCGTTATTATATAAACATACATGTTAAAAATAAATAATACACTGTATTTCGTGTGTGACGTTCGGTTTTGAGAACAAACCGCTGTTGTTTGTAACCATTAGGGTGTTGAGCGTAAAGAAATAATAATGGGTACCCAGGGTTCGGGAAAGAATTGAAGAGCCCTTGCAAATACTGAATGATATATTTAAATACGACTGTCTTCGCGTGATATACTTTTGTGTTGTATTCTACAACAAAAGTATGATCAGAAAGAAATGTGAAAGTAACGTCAAAATACAGCATCTTAACATGTTATAATAGAATTTGGTTTTTTCCCCGATTTGAATATCCTCCCTTACATATTCATCCGATGTTCGACGTTTGTTTACAATGCACTATTATTGTCAGAGTGTCCGAATTTATGGCTTCTGTTAACTCTCAGAATACACGTCAAACTGATGGAAATATTTTTTCCCGCTATTAACTTTTTCAAAATCATTAAGTATGACAAGTAATATTGCTACATAGAAAATTTACGATTTCTGATTGTTTTATAAACATTTATAAAAACAGAAAATACTTTTAATTACTTTGTAAATCGATCTTAACTAATAAAGTTTTTGATTGATAGTAATTCGTTTATTTTAAAAATACTTAACGTAAAACATTTCTAATATAATTATTATTGAATCGGTTATACGAACATCAGTGTTGTCAGTACTAAAATTCTAAAGCACTCACGTCATTTACAAATTAACGATTCGTCTGTTCGTGTTTATTATTATATAGCCTTTAAACCATCAATAGATGATTAAACTAGTGCTTTTCTTTTTTCGCTTTGTTGTAGGAAGCATTTTTTTTCAAGTCACCTGAGTATCCCTATTTATTATTTTGCCAAGTCAATACCACTGGATGTATGATATATCCTCCATATTTTATGATAAATATTTATCAAGAAATAATTCTATAAGCTTATAACGATCAAACCGAGTAATTAATTAAATACATAAACATTGTTATTGTTACTAAATTATATTTGTAATTATACGTATATTATAATCTCATAATTTCCTACTTCAAAATCATAAATTAGATGGAAAAAAAACTTTTTGAACAAACATTGTAAATCATAGAGTAAGGTGATGTAATCGATGGGTGAAAATTCGTCTGAACCAGTAGAAAACTTAATTTAAAACGAAATTACGACTCCACAATGGGATTGTATTGTAAAAATGGAATATTATGCCAACCACGATTATACTATAATGATGTTTAATGTGCGTTATCGCAAGTTACGCGAAGGGAATATAAAAGTCTCATGCTAATAAAATTGTATAAAATAACCTATCCGAAGGCAGTTAACCGAATTAAAATAATGGCGAACAATAAAGCATTAGAATTTAAGACACACCGGAGAAAATATCGGAGCTCGGTAAAAATAGTCCTGCTGTATTCCGCGATGGGCCGTGGAAAATGTACGGACTGAAACATGATTAAGTGAAGGATCTTTTAGATAATGAAACTTTTCGACGAAAACTAGACGTTTCGGTAAATAATTGGTATGGCAAGTGATAGGTCCTAAATATTAGTTAGCGAGTCGGGGGTAGACAATCGCACGGAAGAATTCGATTGGCCGCGAAGAAATGTGAATAAAAGGACGAATGGACAAAAAAGTCAAAAAAGGATCGATCGACGCCGAGTAAATTATACCTAAATGTTTATTCGTCATCGTCATGATTTTCTAACTGAAATGTAATTGATTATGGATATACTATCTATAATCAATGATTTCAGAAACAATAATAATGCATAGATTTAATACATGAGAGTGGTCTCTACTAATAGTCTTCAATAGAATTCCTGCGATCCATTTTAAATATAATACGGGGCTTTAGTAATTTGGCGGAGACATTTGGATTAGAACATTTGAATTTTATTAATATTTGAAGGTTAACTTAATTTGACCAGTTAACTGGGTACTGACAGTGGTGTTCCTATAGAGTATACTATACATACCCAGTAAACTCTCAACATAATTTTGAAAATCCATGGGTATACTGCGTACACTCTTAAGTCTCAAACACTTTATTGAGAAGTATTAAATATAATACGTTTTACAATTTTTCATTTTTGCCTTATTTCGTAATTGACATACAGTTTTTCCTCAGGTTATTAGTAGACATTATTAGTAGACGTTATTAATTTGTTTAAATAATTTTAATTTCTATTTCTGTAAAAAATAAAAATGTATGCATTTAGAATTTTTTTAATATTTACAGAACTTTTCCACCACTAACCATCATCACCGCCTAAATCATAAAAAATGTCAATTTTCAGATACACGCCTGCGTAGTATACTCTTAACAAAATTTATGGGAGCATCACTGGGTACCCAGTGGCCCAGATTGGTTTGAAAAGTAGCTTGTATAAAATGAATTCTTTTTACCAAGATCAACATGCTGTGAAATGAGAAGGTGGCAAAGTTGGCGAGAACGATTTATTCAAGGTATATTATGTTATAATTTAAGGATATAATTTTTTTTCTAAACTTTGTGTCACACTATTTTCGTCTAATTAGCATGATTGTGATAAAAATGTGTACTGAAATGGTGTTGTAAAACTGTTTCACACATTTTTTTGTGGTTAAAATATTCTGTATATCTTAGATTCATTGATAGGTACCCTGAAAAAATAACCAATAAAGCACCAATGCTAAAAAATAATACTCGTATCATTGTTTATTTTCAGGTGCTATACTACTGCGGGTATAATAGAAATTATTCTAATACTTTTTTCACCTTCTATGTGACTGTTTATTGATATTATTAATTCACTAAAAACTTTTAAAAGTTTTTATAAAACATGTGTAGTATTGGAAGGTGCAAACAGATATTGGTTTGAAAATATTTTTGATTTATTGATTTTCAATCAAACAAAATATTTGTACATTGGTTTAAAATACTAATGTCGATAAAGTTATCTTTACCTTATTCACAACAGTGGAAAAAAGTGCCTACCCATCTCTTTTTTTCTTCCGCGCCGTGAAAATCGCATCGCAGGATAACCAATTGTGTTAATACGATTAAAAGCATCGGCCGATTTAGATGATGGCGATTCATGAGCGGTATTACTACGGCGTTAATACACGGTGTATCAAAAGTTTTCATTCAATTTCAAAAATTTATATTTATATTTATATTAAAAATGAAGATATAAGGGTGAAATAAAGTAAAATATATTCTTAAAATAGTTTTATTTTACTTTGGTTACAAATGTTCAATATGACCCTAACCGGCCACCCGACACACATCTATACGGTAATCAAATTCTTCTCAAACGTTGCTGATTATATCTGGTGTCACGGCATTAACAACATCTTTCATTCTGATTTTA